GAGGCCCCCGTCCTGCTGGAGGCCCTGGTGCCCACCGCCCGCCTGCCCGTGCCCCCCCCACGTAAGACCCCCGCCCTCGGGTGCCCACCACCCTGGGAGGGGAGGGAAGGGTCCCCCCGGGGTCCCTTGGGTCCCTGTGGCTGTGCTGGCCACGTGGCCATTCCCTAGGGTGGGTGGGTGGGGAGGTGGCCATCGGGGCAACCAAACTCCTGGGCTCCTGGGGCAGGGCATGAAGGTGGCCACCTTGGACCCTCATGGTCCCCTGGGGTGGGAGAGAAGGTCACCCTAGACCCCAAAGTCCCCTGGGGTGGGGGAGAGGGTCACCCTGGACCCCAAAGTCCCCTGGGTTGAGGGATAAAGTCACCTTGGACCCTCATGGTCCCCTGGGGTGGGGGGAGAAGGTCACCCTGGACCCCAAAGTCCCCTGGGGTGGGGGATAAGGTCACCCTGGACCCCCAGTGTCCCGTAGAGTTGGGAGGAAGGTGGCCACTCTCAACCCTCATGGTCCCCTGGGGTGGAGGAGAAGGTCCACCTGGACACCACAGTTCCCTGGGGTTGGGGGGGAGAAGGTCACCCTGGACCCCCAGTGTCCCCTAGAGTTGGGGGGAAGATGGCCACCCTGGACCCTCATGGTCCCCTGGGGTTGGGGTTGGCTGGGACCACCAAAGTGCCACAGGGGGTCCCAGAAGCCCACGAGGTGGGGTGGAGGTGGGGGGGAGGTTGGGCAGGGACCCCCGTCCCCGGGCGGCGGCCGTGCCTGCCCTGTCCCTCGCCCCCCAGGCAGCCCAGCCCCACGGCTGCCGGTGGCCCTGCGCATCTGCACCCTGGTCTGCAGGTCCTGGGGGGACCGGCCCCAGCTCTGCCAGGTACGACCCCCCCTCTCCCACACCCCGGGGTCCTCCCCTTCAGGTGGGTGGGGGGTGGTGGCCATGGTGTCCCACCAGGCTATGTGGTGGTGGCACTTGTCCCCATGTCCTAGTGGTCCTGCATATTCTCAGGCCCTGGTGGCCATCCATGTCCCCATGCTGTCTGGTGGCCTTGTGTGTCCTCAGGCTATGGTGGCCATCAATGTCCCCATGCTTTGCATCATTGTGTCCCCAGTCTACAGGATGGCAGCCCAGCTCCCCATACCTTGGTGGCAGCCCACGTCCCCCAGTTATGGTGGCCATCCATGTCCCCATGCCCTGGTGGCCATCCATGTCTTGATACCCTGGCAGCCCATTTCCCCAGGCCATGGTGACCATGCATGTCCCCATGCCCTGGTGGTAGCCCATGCCCCCAAGCTATGGTGGCCATCCATGTCCCCATGCCCTGGCGGCACCTCATGCCCCCAAGCTATGGTGGCCATCCATGTCCCCATGCCCTGATGACCATCAATGTCCCCATGCCCTAGTGGCAGCTCATGCCCCCACGCTATGGTGGCCACCCATGTCCCCATGCCCTGATGACCATTAATGTCCCCATGCCCTGATGGTAGCCCATGTCCCCAGGCTACAGTGACCATCTATGTCCCCATACGCTGATGACCATCAATGTCCCCATGCCCTGGTGGCAGCCCACATCCCCAACCTATGGTGGCCATCCATGTCCTGATGACCATCAATGTCCCCATGCCCTGGCGGCACCTCATGCCCCCAAGCTATGGTGGCCACCCATGTCCCCATGCCCCGATGACCATTAATGTCCCCATGCCCTGATGGTAGCCCATGTCCCCAGGCTACAGTGACCATCAATGTCCCCATATGCTGGTGGCACCTCATGTCCCCAGGCTACAATGACCATCTATGTCCCCATGCCCTGATGACCATCAATGTCCCCATGCCCCGGTGGGAGTCCATGTCCCCAAGCTATGGTGGCCACCCATGTCCCCATGCCCCGATGACCATCAATGTCCCCATGCCCTGGTGGCAGCCCATGTCCCCAGGCAACGGGGTGGCCGTCCGTGTCCCCATGCCCGTGTTGGCGTGTCCCCACAGGTGGCGTGCGGCGTGGGACGTGCGGAGGCGCCGGTGCGGCACGGGGCGACGCTGCCCCAGGGCCTGGACTCCAGCCTGCAGCAGTGGGGGGTGGTGGCCACCAGCCAGCGGCAGGCACTGGCCACGCGGCTCCGGGTGGCCTCCGAGGCCGCCATGGCCGCCCTCCTGGCCGCCGAGGCCGAGCTGAGCCCTCAGCAGCGCGGTGGTGCCCGCGCCCACACTGACCTCCTGGGTGAGCACGGGGTCCCCCAGGGGTCACCCCATGGTGGTGGCACTGTCCCCCCATGGTGCTGAGCGCGGTGTCATCGTCCCCAGGCGTGGACTTCTTGCTGGCGTGCGTGGATGACGCCCTGGAGCTGGTGGCCCTGTCCACCAACAGCCAAAGGTGCCTGGAGACCTGCCTGCTAGCCGACGCCATGGGGCGCGCTGTGGGGGAGCCCCACGGTGACCTGCCCCGGCTGCTGGCCGAGGCCCTGCTGCACCGGGCGCAGTGTCACCTGGTGGAGGGCAAGGACATCCTGCTCATCGGGGCCGGTGGCGTCAGCAAGAGCTTCGTCTGGGAGGCGGCCCGCAACTACGGCCTGAGGGTAAGGAGGCTTGGCCATCAGTAGGCTTCAGAGTGAACATTGGTCATCAGTAGGCTTCAGAGTGAACATTGGCCATCCATAGGTTTCAGAGTGAACATTGGCCATCAGTAGGTTTGAGTGAACACTGTCCATCAGCAGGTTTCATAGTGAACACTGTCCTTCAGTAGGCTTCAGAGAGAACGTTGGCCATCAGTAGGTTTCAGAGTGAACGTTGGCCATCAGCAGGTTTCAGAGTGAACATTGGCCATCAGTAGGCTTCAGAGAGAACGTTGGCCATCAGTAGGCTCCAGAGTGAACACTGGCCATCAGTAGGTTTCAGAGTGAACATTGGCCATCAGTAGGTTTGAGTGAACACTGTCCATCAGCAGGTTTCAGAGTGAACGCTGGCCATCAGTAGGCTTCAGAGTGAACGCTGTCCTTCAGTAGGTTTGAGTGAACACTGTCCATCAGCAGGTTTCAGAGTGAACACTGTCCATCAGCAAGTTTGAGTGAACACTGTCCATCAGCAGGTTTCAGAGTGAACATTGGCCATCCATAGGTTTCAGCGTGAATGCTGTCCATCAGTAGGCTTAAGAGTGAACATTGGCCATCAGTAGGTTTCAGAGTGAACATTGGCCATCAATAGGTTTCAGTGTCAATGTTGGCCATCAGTAGGTTTCAGAGTGAACGCTGTCCATCAGTAGGTTTCATAGTGAACGTTGGCCATCAGTAGGCTTCAGAGTGAATGCTGTTCGTCAGTGGGTTTCAGAGTGACCGTTGGCCATCAGTAGGTTTCAGAGTGAACATTGGCCATCAGTAGGCTTCAGAGTGAACACTGGCCATCCGTAAGTTTCAGAGTGAATGCTAGCCATCAGTAAGCTTCAGAGTGAACATTGGCCATCAGTAGGTTTGAGTGAACACTGTCCATTAGTAGGTTTCAGAGTGAACATTGGCCATCAGTAGGCTTCAGGGTGAACATTACCCATCCATTGGTTTCAGTGTGAATGCTGGCCATCAGCAGGTTTCAGCGTGAACGTTGGCCATCAGCAGGTTTCAGAGTGAACACTGTCCATCAGTAGGTTTCAAAGTGAGCACTGGCCATCAATAGGCTTCAGGGTGAACATTGGCCATCTATAGGCTTCAGAGTGAACGTTGGCCATCAGTAGGCTTCAGAGTGAACACTGGCCATCAGCAGGTTTCAGAGTGAATGCTGTCCATCAGTAGGCTTCAGAAAGAACATTGGCCATCAGTAGGTTTGAGTGAACATTGGCCATCTGTAGATTTCAGCGTGAATGCTGGCCATCAGTAGGCTTAAGAGTGAACGTTGGCCATCAGCAGGTTTCAGAGTGAACGCTGTTCATCAGTAGGCTTCAGAGTGAACACTGTCCATCAGTAGGCTTCAAAGTGAACACTGTCCATCAGTAGGCTTCAAAGTGAACGTTGGCCATCCATAGGCTTCAGAGTGAATGTTGGCCATCAGTAGGCTTCAGAGTGACCGTTCATCAATAGGCTTCAGAGTGACCGTTGGCCATCAGTAGGCTTCAGAGTGAACGCTGGACATCAGTAGGCTTCAGAGAGAAAGTTGGCCATCAGTAGGCTTCAGAGGGAACACTGTCCATCAGTAGGTTTCAGAGTGAACCTGTTGCACCGTAGCAGCACCCAGTCCCTCCACCCAGCTCATTGTCCCAGTGGCAGGGGCGGGTGGCCGAGCCGCGGTCCCCGTGCCACCCCGTGCCACCTCCCATCCCACCACAGTGACACCTCCCCGTGCCCGCAGATCCACCTGGTGGAGTCGGACCCGGAGCACTTTGCGGCGGGGCTGGTGGAGACCTTCCTGCCCTACGACAGCCGGGAGCACCGGCGGGACGAGGAACACGCCGAGCGGGTGACGGAGCTGCTGCGCTCCCGGGGGCTGCGGCCCCACGCCTGCCTCTCCTACTGGGACGACTGCGTGGTACTGGCCGCACTGGTGTGCCAACGCCTGGGCTTGCCCGGCAACTCGCCCGCCGCCGTCCGGGTGGCCAAGCAGAAGAGCCGGACCCACCAACACCTCCAGAGATGCCGGGGTGGTCGCCCACCCCCTTCCACCTTCGCCGTGCCGTGCCGCCGGCTGCGGAGCCACGGGGACGTGGAGCGGGCAGCGGGCACCGTCCCTTTCCCCGCCGTGGCCAAACTGGAGTTTGGGGCCGGTGGGGTGGGGGTGCGTTTGGTGGAGACCCCCGGGCAGTGCCACGCTCACGCCGCCCGCCTCTGGCGTGACCTACGGGATGACGCCGACCACCCGGGCATCGGTTTGGGTTGGGGCAATGCCATGCTGCTGATGGAGTACGTGCCGGGCACCGAGCACGACGTGGACCTGGTGGTCTTCCAAGGGCGTCTTTTGGGGGCTTGGGTGTCCGATAACGGACCCACCCGCTTGCCCGCTTTCCTGGAGACGGCCGCCTGCTTGCCCTCTTGCTTGCCCCCCGACCGCTGTGCCCAACTGGTGCGGGCAGCTTTCCAGTGCTGCCTGGCATGTGGCTTACGGGACGGGGTCTTCAACGTGGAGCTCAAACTGGGCCCCGCCGGTCCCCGTTTGTTGGAGATCAACCCCCGCATGGGGGGGTTCTACCTCCGCGACTGGATCCGGGAGGTCTACGGCCCCGACCTCCTCTTGGCAGCCGTTTTGGTAGCCCTTGGGCTACCCCCCGTTTTGCCCGCTCGCCCCGTGCCCCGTACCCACTTGGCGGGGGTGATGTGTTTGGGGTCGGAGCACGGAGGGGTGTTGGGGGGTAGCGGGGTGGGGGGGGGACTGGAAACGTTGTTGGGGTTGCAAGAGAGGGGTCTTGTGAGGCTCAACCGGCTCTTCGAGGAACCCGGGGGGGCCGGGGAGTACGAGGAGCCCTGCCTGAGCGTGGCGTGCCAGGGGGGCACGCGGGCAGAGGCCTGCCTGCGCCTGCTGGGGCTGTGCCAGGCGCTGGGCATCGATTCCCCCCGTTACCCCGTCGAGCATTTCTTATCCCACTTCAAATAGCGCCGGGGTAGGCAGCGGGGGGAGGATTTGGGGGAGAGGGGGGGGCATCGGAGGGGGCATGGAAGGTGCCACCCTGCTGTAAACTCCTCCCGCAGCCCCGCCGCCCGGCATCCCGCTGGTACCCACTCCCCTG